GGGCGCTCTTACAGCTCTTATAACAATCCATACATCAATTGTATCAAGCATATGTTGCCATCATTATTTTCTAGACATTTACTTTCCAATGAGCCCTTGGTATCAGCTCCTCCCGACCCCCCCAAGCCTTGTAACCCCTTGAAAAATTATAATTATTATTTTCCTATCTTACACCGACTGCTGTTTTCCTTCCCCCACAGTTTCTACTGTTTGTCTTCCTGGAGTGGGGAGGGAGTAGCTATGTGTCCATCATTGTGATCAGTTCCCCCTTCCTGCTTTCCTCTCTCCATCTTCCCCTACTCATTCCTGTTCCTGGATTCCATGTGTCCTGAGCTCCTATCTTTAATCTGTACCTGTGCACATGCTCCGGTCTAGCCCGCAGTGAAAAGCAGGACTGGGGTCATGATAGTGAAGGGTGAGGAAGCCTCAAGGAACCAGAAAATACTTCGTTTCACCGGTGTTTTACTGCGCCCTGGTAGATTCATCCCATCCTTGTGATCCTTCTGTGAGGGGATGTCCCACTGTCTACAGGTGGGTTTGGCGTTTCTGCTCTCATCCCCCTCGTTCTCAACAATATGGTTTTTTGTTTGTTTGCTTGGGGGGGTCTTCTGATGCCTCTACTTTACCAACATCCTTTCCCAGCAACACAATTCAAATGCATTAATTCTTCTTTGGCCTTCCGTATTCAATGTTCAACTTTCACATGCACGTGAGGCTACTGAAAATAATGCGGCTTGGGTAAGGCCCACCTTAGTCTTCAAAGTAACATCTTTCATTTACAACACTTAAAAGAAGTCTTGTGCAGCATATTTACCCAATGCAAGTTGCCGTTTGATCCCTTAACTGCTTCTTCCAAAAAGACTGATAGTAGATACAAGTAAGGCGAAATCCTTGACAACTTCAATCTCTTTCTGTTTATCATTATATCACCTACTGGTCCAGCTGTGAGGATCTGGGTTTTATTATTTTGAAAACATTATTTCATTTTAAATCTATCAATAATGGATCTGGAATAACAGTAATTTGGAAAAATTAGATAGGAAACCTAGAAGGTGGGGTGGTAGGTTTATGTTAATGAAGGAGGTACAATATGCAAAAGGAAGGTGAAAATAGTTACTTAACTTGAAGAATGTAATCCATGTTACTAAATGGTATATGTAAAAACCAAAAAAAAAAGGAAAAAGCAAACTAATGGAACCAAGGCTTCTAGAAATCCAGGTGCCTCTTACAGATGCTTCTCCCTGCCTAAACTATGGCCAACTCTACACATATTGCAGAAGCCCTGATGGTGCTATTGGCCATCGAGAGCGAGCCACAAAGTTAGTGATTCAGGATTCACAGCCTCAAGCTCTGTATGAGTTGTAGTTTCTGCTGCTGTTGAGGTATGCTTAATTCAGAATCATTTGTTTTAAACTCAGTCTGAAATAAATATTTCTCCAAAACTGTTTGAAAGGAAAATAAAGGCAAACACTATATAGACTATAAAATTCACAGCCATCAAAGTGATTCCAACTCATAGCAACCCTACAGGACTGAGTAGAACTGCCCCTACGGGTTTCAGAGAGTGTAAAAGCGTGTCTTTCTCCAGCAGAGTGGTTGGTGGTTTTAAACTTTGGATTGGTAGCCTGACTTTGTAACCCGCTAAGCTATCAGGGCTCCTCAAAGGTTATACAGTACAGTGGTTAAGAGTAAGACACTGGAACCACTGGGTTTGGATGCCAGCTCTTCCAACTCCTAGTGCAAATTTGAGTAATTACTTAAATCTCTGGTCTTCCTTGTGCTCATTTTTTTTTAAGGACATATAGGGTCTCTTCATGGATATCAGAGTTGTACCCTTTCACCATACTTAAACAATCTGTATATGGAGCAAATAACCTGAAACACTGGTCTATATGAAGAAGATTGCTGCATTAGGATTAGAGAAAAGCTCATTAACAACTTGCAGCGCCGGCCCCAATCAGAATCAAACTGACCCTCCGCCTAGAAGTATGTGCTACACAGGACAACACTAAACCTAAAGGTTGGGGGAAGGGGCCAGCCTGCCATGCCCACACAGAAGCAAACCAAGAAGGAAAAAGAGAAAGAAAAGGACTAGACCCCATACTGGCACACCAAGCGTTGAGGATGATGGCCCTGTACAGAGCTGCTAAGGTACAAAGAGGGCCGTAGGGCCAACAACAGCTCAAGCCATGAAGTCTCCTCACTGGAGCATAGTGAGACAGAGGACAATACTGGGGACACACGGTGGCGGGGATTGAGTCCAGTCTGACCACGCCCATAATGGGCAAACCCAGAAGGGAACATAACAGATCAGCAATGGGAGCAAAGCAAAGCCACAAAAACCCGAGGAGCCCCAAAAATAGACTTAAGGCTGGAGGGGGTGGGGGCAGTTCCCAGAACCCCCAGGACCTATGGGGCGATAGTCATAAAGGTCAGCAGACACACCTGGAATTATGTATACTTTTTCTTTTGCTAGTTTTTCTTTTTTTTTTGGGGGGGGGATCCTTTTTATTTAATTTTTTGTTTTCTTTTTGTTTTGTCTCTGTTATTGTTGTTTTGCCTACCAATATAAGATAGATATAGGGAAGCAAACCCAAAGAGAAAGCAACAGGTTCCAGAGGGTC